TTATCGTTCTTCTTGATAATATTAGTACAGATTATTTTGTAATTATTGGTTTCACGCTAATTATTGGTGGAAATCAATATAGTTTGACATAAGACATGAGTGACAAAAAAGTATTTTGATAATCATCTTTATCATCAGCCTATGAGTGCTGACTGTTGAGCAAAGGCCTCTTTTCACACGGAGAAGGTTTGAACATTAATCACTATTCTATTGCAAAACAGATTGTCAATTTCAGACTTATAACAAGGAATTATAAGGCTTGGTTTTCTCCTTAACCGTATATCAGTGATATCGAAATAAAGTTTGTAAGTATGTATTACTTGGAATATACCACATTGGTACTTGGTTTCAAAACCTCGTGCATCAGAATCGGGAGCCCTAACGACCGGGCCACCACAATATAAAAACATTTTGAAATATTGTTTAGTGTCCTGAGGACGAAATTGACTAATAGTAAGTCTAAAACAAGTATTGTTAAAGGCTGTATCACAAAATTTACTTCAATAGAAATTTTAGTTAACTATAAATCATATTAATTCAAGTTAAGAAACTTAAAGGTCAAAATAATTAGTTACAGCGCCCCACACGAGTACGTTCTTTCTTGTTGTCCGATAATTGGTGATACCCAATTAATGGTACGTTTGTCTTTTAAATAATTGTCAGCAATTAATTCAGTGTGGAGCTTACTAGCGTAGGGATTAAATCGATAAAATATAATCCGAAATTTATGTTAATTAAATTCCAGTTGCTGTTGCAACATTGAATTATTTGGATTCAGTGAATTTATGTGCTTAAGATGATGTGGATGAGCTTTATATGCAACGACTTGAAGACGACATGGTTGTTAGATAGACTTCTACGAAATGATAGTTGGTATATGGTCCTGAGCTAGAGCCGACCAAAGATATCGCATACGATTCTCTTCCTGAAACACCTATCCTTTTTATCTGAGTATAATCTAATGACAAATAGCTCCTCTAAGAGGACTGACCGACAGTTTTACACTTTTTTTAAGGTTTGTTTGACGTTTATTATTACCTGTTAGGGTCTAATTAAAATACTTTGTTTTTTTTTATTTTGACTTTTCCTGCTCCGCTTTTGCACCTGCAACGCTGAGTGAACCATACCCTAAAATTTCTAAAACAGAGAAAAAATCTTAATTTCGTAAACAGAGAGGAGGAGAGGAGGAGGAGAGAGGCGTTTAGGTTTTCATCTATATCATTATTTACTAATTACATTAAACACGAAAAAAAATATCGTCGCTATAACTAATTAAAGTTTCTGTTTTATATCTGTCTGTAATTAAAATAAAACAAGTAGCTAATAAGTAGGTTAGTTTAAATATTCAGGTATAAATTTAGAAATTTTAATTAGTATTATAAAAAAAGCTCTAAGTATCTTTTAATGAAAAACAGTTTCTTCTGTCGTCCTTTCAAATAATAATGATAGAAATTATTTTTATTGTTTCACCAACTCTTATTTCCGTTTTATCTTGAACTGTCGTGAAAGAAAATTATGGATTACCAAGCTTCAGGATAGCCCAAGTTTCTTTTGTCAACATTGAAATTCCATGGTAGTTCCTGTCATTATTTTGCGTTCAATTCCCATACAGAACAACACTTTATGAGATACAAAAATAGTTGCTACATGCCTGGGTGTGATGTGTATGAAAATTTGTATGTTGGTTAACGCACCTACACACGCAACATAGAAAAGGAAATCCTTTTCCTCTTGTACCTTTTTATATAAAAACTCTTTTTCCGTCCTCTTAGATATTTTTGGCATAACTTTTAGGGTTTGACACCTCTCATACAACTTGAATGTCAAATTTCAGCCTTCTACGAGCAGTAATTTCGAATATGTTTTTGTCTGTCACTCAGTCAGTAAGTCAGGGATGAGTTTTCCGATTTTTCTTTTTCTCTGGCGTTGTCGAGCGATATTGTCTGATTGATTGATTTCTGCGTCATAGTGGCCGGAGGTTAAGGCTCTCGCTTCTCATTTATGAGGACTCGAACCTGGTTATACGCACTTTATATTAAGATACCACTGAAATACGGTAAAGGAAAATATAGTGAGGAAACCTGGATTTATTATTTCTAATTATACGTTTGTAATCGCCAATCCACCTTGAGCAAGCGTGGTGGAAGTGGTTACTGTTTATTGAAAACACGGTGGCTGTAGTGGGTGGGCAACTGGCTATTACAGCTTCGATTCCCCCGAAAACCAATTCTTTGTATAATTATAAATTGTTGTACTGGGTATGGATGTACGCGTCGTTTTTCGTCTGGAAATTCACCCACGACACAGGAAATAATCCAGTGTAGGGAAATAGTAAAAAAAAATCTTATCAAGACCTTTCAAAATAACAGAAAATAATATCTATGCATCTATAAAACAAATTTATCTTATAAAAGAGGTAGAATCTATTATTATATTATGGGCTTTGTAGTAAAATCAAAACGTTTTAAAAAACTTTTTACCCAGCCATTACGTTTCAAATAAAAAAAGGTTTTATTATATTTCTTTACCTTCTAAATTGGTTCACACCACGTGATCTTGTTACCCATTATATTTAGATACGTGGGCGACAATAAAGAGTATTTTATTGGTATTCGTGAAAATTAATCAGTTTTTACAAAGGTTACGTTAACGATATTTTTGACAAAGGTCAACAAATTTAATGATATTGAATGATTGATTGAATGAAAATAGAATGGTTTTTTTTTATGTAATAGACCGGCAAACGAGCAGACGGATTACCTGATGGTAAGCAATCAGCGCCGCCCATGGACACCCGCAACGGAAGAGTGACGAGTGCGTTGCCGACCTCTTAGGAATTAGTGTTTTGGAGATTGAGGAAGGATTGGGCCTCTGGTAACCTCACTCACACGGCGAAACAAAATGCTGTAGTTGTTTCACGCCGGTTTTCTGTGAGGCCGTGGTATAGAAAATATTATAAGTATGTTCGTTTTTTTTTCAAAAGGTATGAAAAAAGTACCATTGTTTTAATTACACTTAATTAATGTGTATAAAACTGTATGTTTTTTATAAATTGTCATCATCATCAGCCATAAGTGCCCACTGCTGAGCAAAAGCCTCTTCTCACACGGAGAAGGTTTGAGCATTAATCACCACGCTTGCTCAATGCGGGTTGGCGATTTGAAACTTATAATTAGAAATTAAAGTCCAGGTTTCCCCAAGATGTTTACCTTCACCGTATATCAGTGGTCTCTAAATAATCATAGAAAGTACATATAACTCGGAAAAAGTCACATTGGTACTTGCCAGGTTTTGAACCCACATCCTCATGCAGGCAACCTCCGGGCAACCACGACAATATGATGCATTATCTGATAGAATTAGCTCTTGGATTTACTTTAATTTTCGAATACCATTTTCTTTTTTTTGAATTCCAAATTTAAAATTCTCCTAGGGATTTTGAATCCTCAATTGAAATGCAGGTTTTTTATGGCACAATGAATTCCCTGATGATAAGAATTGGTGCCATCAAAAAGAAATACCATAAAAGTTTTCTTTCTTTCTTTCTTTCAATTTCAGAACTTTTCATACAAAATTTAAATGAATTTTCACTTACGTTAGCAAAATTTCATTTCCAAACACATTGCCTTTACAAAAAAATTAGTCTAAAATTTAACACCACACCAATAGCAACTCACCAAGCAAATACGAATACAAAATAACACTTACCCTTTATTCAAATTAACCACATCAGCTGAAAAACAGGCTCCGAACTGAGATCATTAACAGCCCTCTAATCGCGAGGTAAACTTTACTTAAATCCGCTTAACTTAGTTATTCTTAGATCATACAAAGTAACTTTACGTAATCCGTTCGTAAAATACATAGCTTCGTTAAGTCTTCTAAGTTACATCTAAGCATAGATATAACAATTATTGAGATATTTTTATCATAACTTTCGTGAGACATTCTAAATTAATTATTATGTTATCGCGCATTCTGCGACACGCGACGCGGCGACTGCCAGCACTTATATAAATAAATCACAAACCGCAACAAATAAAATAAATGATAGAAAAAAATACAAGAAAAAATTTTAATGTTCAATTTTATTAACAGCAATTATCTTAATGTATAAATAAAATGTCATATTAATAGCATTGCACTCATGATTTGAATTCACATTTTAGCAGTAAAAAGCACACTGAAAATGTAGCAAGACAATTTAATTAAAATATTGGATTCAAATGTAAAAATTTTAAATTATTTTTTTATCAAAATATTTATAAAAAAATGCCTGCGATTCGGATCGTCCGCATACAGATGTGGCCTTGTTGTGCATTTTATAGTTTTTACCACGGGAAGTCCGAACCGTCCGATTAGAAGGAATAGTTTGGATTTTTTTTCTTCTGCCTATTGTCGCCATAAAAAACACGACAGAGTTACCATACTCAGCATAACACGTCATGGTTGGAAATCAATAACTAAGAGTTTTTCACGAAAAAACCTAATCAGCACTTTCAACATATGCAATGAACTGACTAAGCACGGACCTATGTAATAAACATCCAAGAAAAGAGTGTACTCTTTCTTAAAGGTAACGCACTAGTGACTCCTTTATTTCAGGGTATTTATAGGCACTGATCGCTTACTATAAAGTTTCTCGCAGCCGGCCTGTATGCATTAAAAAAACAAAGATTCTTTGCTCTTTTTATTAGCAACTAACCAACATCTTCGCCCACGTTACCCGAGTAAAAATTTGGCCCATTTATTGTTTCAGAATATGTTTTATTCCTATGCCAAGTTTTATCTAAATCAGTTGGATAGTTTTTACGTGATGAAACATACATTCACGCTTTTAATAGTGTAAGCCGAAAAAGATTTAGTAATAATTGAATATGACACAAATGTACATAAATAATTGTTATGTTTTTGAATAAAATTGATCTTTTTCATCGACAATAAAATTAAAATTAAAAATAAGTAATTATTTAATATTATCAATATTGAGGTTACAGAGCTCAAAGATGATTACAAATATCCCAAGCGTCAAGAATAAAGTCAGCGGCTCGTTCAGCTATAATTAAAACTGTAGCTAAAGTATTAGCACTAACTTGTGTTGGCATTGACGAAGAATCAACTACTCTGAGTTTTTTCACTCCTTTGACCCTCAATCTACTATCTAATACAGAACCCATTCCACATGTACCAGCATAATGCCATAAACTTGATGACGTAGATAAAGCCATACACGTCCAATATTCTTCCTCAGTTACAACATTCGTACACAATCCAGTATCAACTAGTTTCGCACCTATACTCTTAAAATACGAAGTCTCTAAAACTTTGTTAAAATCAGCCAAACTTGCTGCCATTAGTTTCAAATCAGAACTGTTATTGAATATCCCAGAATATATCAAAGGATCGTCGGTATGATCAGAGCTTTTCAATAAAACTTTACCTCGAGACTCAGGTATCATCAGGTCAATGATAGCCCAAATAGTAGTTCTGCCAATACTAGCATTGTAAAAGAGGTCGCATAAGTCATTTGAAAACTTATACACATTCGAGCACAATTGTAGCAAGCCTGCTGATTCGTGGCTGAATTCTAAAGTGATGGCTTGGTAATCAGGGCGATTTTTCAAAGAATCAAGTGCCACATAACCTATAGTCATTGGAGCAGGGAATTCGAAAGGGTTAGCTGCTGGTACTGGGGAATTGTCTTCCTCCATTTGATACACAAGTACTGATTCCGAATGATCTTGCAACATTTCTCCTACAGGCAGATCAGCGATAACATCAATGCCCAATGACTGAAGATGATCTTTAGGTCCAATACCAGAAAGCATCAATAATTTGGGACTGTTAAAGGCTCCTGCTGAAACTATAACTTCTTTGTTAGCTGTAAAATTTTTGATTGTACCCTTATTATCAATAGTTTCCACACCAGTAGCTATGGAATTTTCAGTTACAATTTTGATTACTGTTGTGCTAGTCAAAACACAAAGATTAGGACGGTGTTTAGCTTGAGTGAGGTATGTTAATGCACTGTTCTGTCGAATATTATCACCAATATTTAATAAAGGCTCGGAGTAAGCTAATCTTGATTCTGGTGCGCTCGTGTCGTCGACAATACGATGACCAAGTTCTTCGAAAGCTGATAGAAGATTTTTGTTGCTATCACTTTTCTGTCTTGATATTTTAATTGGGCCTTCAGTGCCATGTTGTTTAGCAGATTCTGAAGCTAGTAATTCTTCGTCTACTAAGTTTTCTGGTCTTATTATGTACGGTAGCATATTTTTATAATTCCATGTGTTATCATTTAGAATTTTCGCCCATTCGTTTAAGTCTTCGGCGTGGGGTTGCACATAAATCAAATGATTTAAAGAGCTACTACCACCTAACATCTTTCCTTGAGTGAGTCCAACATGTTGACCTTGAAGGTTCTGTGCTGCATAGTGATCGTCAACTGCTGTGTAATTAAAATCATATGGAGAGCTTGCTAGTAGTGGGAACAGTGCTGCTATCTGTAAAAGACATGGAAATTATAACAGCTCAGGTTTTTGAAAATGAATTCCTATTTTACAAAGTGATCGGTTAATTTGAAAAAGAAAAGTAAATTAGCTTATCTTTAGCTATAGCATTCACTACATTGGCAGAAAAAAATATAAATCCATATTTTATAAAATATATACGTAAATATTTTTAAAGCTATCTATTCATAGTTTTTAGTTTATCATCAGAACTAACCAAACAAAATTAATTATTATTGAACCTTTATTATTATATAATAGAACATACTTCTGATTCAAATGGTGGTGCTTCTCCAGCTTCTATGAGTAAAACAGAGACGTCACGGTTAGCCGATAGTCTGTTGGCGAGAACACAGCCGGCCGAGCCAGCACCCACGACAATGAAATCAAATGAACTGCCATCTGGAATTATTACAGAAAAAAAACATTAATAATGAGATTGATTGATGAGTGACGAATTTTTGAAAATTTTTGGAAGATAAGTAGTCTCTGTTAGTCTTTTTCAGTTCAGTTCAGTCATCAGTTGGAGTCATACAAAGTACATTATTATTAAACATACTTTTTACTAAGCCATACGGCGTGGATATCGGACATACCGCCATGAAGCTTCCCTATGAAATATAGTGTATTATGATGTGTATATGTGCGTCGGAGCGTCGATTATTTATATTGAATTTTGAAGGAGGTTTTATCACAATTCATCGGACGAGGGTACAATGAATCGTACTCTGGCGGAACGTCAAACTGACAGTTCTGCGTGCGCATTATGGTGGAGCTCTACACCATAATGCGCACGCAGAACTGTGACTGTCATCTGAGACGGATCGCCGACGTCCGCTATTTTTGTAATTTATTCGGCCTGATTATAAAATCCTAAGCCCTGCAATGGACTGTGAAGACAATGATGGGGATGTTGATGTTTGTACCAACCCCCCGGTGCCTTCATGTGCATATAGGTGCGCTTTTTCTTTGTTAATGTAATAGGACGGGCAAGTGTGTGCGCAAAATGGGTGCACTCTTTCTTTTTCTTTTCTTCACTATGTATGATTCCAATGAGACGGTAAACTGATACGAATAAAGAGCAGCCAAAGTCACGCCTTAAAACGTTGGTTATACTTTACATTGAACTTAGATTCCTTTCACGGTCTATGAGACCTTACTGTACCAGATTTTGTTTAAAAACTAATATCAAATAGCAGTATTATACTTACCATCAGGTTGGCATTGAGGTGGATATCTCCACGATGTAAGCTGCAATGTCTGAATGACCTGTAACGCTGTGTTAACAGCTTGTATTGTAGATAATGTTGTAGCAGCGGCTGACATTGCTGAAATAAGCATAAATATTATATGAAATATTTGACGACTTAACTAGTATCAAGCCTTAACAGTGGTCCATAATCACTAGCAGTATTATTGGAGAATATCTATGTCGATTGTGGCTTAATATATCTTATATATTAAAAATGAATAATGTTCACTTCGGAAGTCGGAAGTTTATGTGTGGGAGAGCCATGCTTCGGCACGAATGGGTCGGCTCGACCGGAGTGATACCTCAACCTCACGGAAAACCGGCGTGAAATAACCACAGCGTTGTGTTTCACCGTATGAGTGAGGTTACCGGAGGCCCAATCCTTCCCCACCCCCAATTCCTCCTCAATCTCTAAATCTCCAAATCCCTAATCCCTAAAAGGTCGACAACGCACTCGTAACTCCTACGTTGCGGGTGTCCATGGGCGGCGCTGATTACTTACCATCAGGTAATTCGTCTGCTCGTTTGCCGATTTATTACATAAAAAAAATTCTCCCTAAAATTCGAGAAACGCTGGATCACCATTGCTTATTGTAGTCTTGGACTATATAGTGTAAAAGATCTTAAAGAAATAAATATTAATTAAATGCGAAGTAAGCTGGTTCAGCTAGCAACCAACAAAAAATTAAAAGTGTGATATAATAGTATAAAAATCATAATAGGATTGAATAATAATATACATATGTATCTAGGCAGTCTACCAAGAGACCTTATAGACCGAACCGGGATGTTAAGTAAACCCAGATTTCAAAGTACTGAACTAACTGAAAATATTAACACAATTTTATTCCTAATATCACAAAAGAAGATATAAAGAATGAAATATAGTCATAAACACACTGAGACCATTTTTGACCCGCGGCCACAAGACCTAGTAATAGTGCACTGCGAAAAAATGAACAAAATATATAAGACTTACTGATATGACTCACACCTGCTGGTCCAATGAACACAGTTTCAAAAATTCAGTATGTTTTATAACTGAAACTTCAGTAGGAGAAAGGGGAGAAACTGAAAATGTTTTTTTTTATATGTCTGATTGGCTTCCTCTCAAAACTGTTTGACGAAGATACTCGACTATTTTCAAACCATTTTGGGGGCTCTCAATCATGAGAAACATTGTACGACAAAATTGGCTGAATATACTGATTAACATAGTTATTTAATATCTCCCGGATTTTACTCAATAATACAAAAGGTAAATTTGTATGTATTTTTTTATGTAATAGCGCTCATGGACACTCGCAACAGCAGAGGAGTTACGAGTGCTTTGCTGACCTTTTGATTGGGGAAGGTTTGGGCCCCTGGTAATCTTACTCACACGGTGAACGCAACGCTGTGGTTGTTTCACACGAGTTTTCTTTGAGGTCGTGGTATCACTCCGGTCTAAGCATGGCTCTCCCACACTTGACTTTCTCACTTGTAAGATAAAAATTGTATGGCCTACGTAATTTTGCCAAACTTCCTCAAAATTTAAATTGTTAACTGTTAAAGGCGTTTTCAACATTCACAATTATTTACACTAAGTCTGTATTGTTTTTTTGGTATAAATTTACATAACCATGTTCTTACTTTCACATATGTGTAAATATGTAATGAAAGTGAAATATTTTCTGTAACTGAATAATTTTAATTGTTATTATTGTTATAGAAAACTTAAAATAATACACATTTTTATTTTTTTTGTTCGTTGAAATTTGATATTGACGTCATGTTTTTTTTTATTTTAAATATGTTAAATGAATATAATAATATAAACGTATGTCAGTTGGTTTATACTAAGTATTTGAACGCGTAGATTTTGAATTAAGAATGTCCTGTAACCAGATATTTAAAAAAAAAACCTTGTTCAGCCTTTGCGTTAGTAAGGCGTAACGGGTTTGCAGAAAACTGGCATGGAACAATTAAGGCGCTGTGATTTATCGAGGGAGGTTGCCACAGATGCAGTCCTAAAATCCCGAATCCTCAAACCCCAAAAGGAAACTCCTCTTGTGTTAGATGGGCAGTGTCAACTGCTTACCATCAGAATTTAACGAAGGTCTAATGTTTAGTTTGGCCTCGGCCTAAAGCAGAAGAAAAAAAGGGGGGGATTTTAGTCAGTAAGAGTCTGACACTCTCTATCGCCTCACCCTGGTCGGGTAAAGTTATTTGATGAGTCTCGTTTATTGCCCTATTCTATTAAAATTTGCCATTTTTAATCAACAAATCAATCATGAATTCACGAAGAACACTTCTGAAAAATCCAAAAAGACTTCAACACTATGAATACCGATTTGCATTCCTTGCGGACACAGTCGCTGTCAAGAATTAGTATTATGTTCTGTTTTCATAATTGAAAACAAAGAGAAATTAAGAAATGGATATTCCAATATCAAATATTAATATAAACTGAATAACAAAATGACTTGTAATTTTTGTATAGGTAGTAGTAGTGTTGTAGTCTGTCTTTTGTTTTCATAGGTGAGCAGTGTTTAGTTACAGCTACATATAGTATGTTTCTATTTAAGACCAAGCTATCATGGTCTTGCTTTGTAAGATCTTTCCATACATTCAAAGGTCAGTTTACACAGTTTGATGCCTATCCGTGTGTGCATTTAGTTTTCCCCAGTTGTCTTACAAAATCTTACTGTAAACTTTTACAAAAGACGACATGTAAGTGCATAGCGTTCCTCGCGCGCTTCAAAAAGCTAACAGATACACATTAATTGGCCCTAACATAGGTGATATACAGTCGGGGTTTGCTTGTCAAGAGTAATTTTTCTACCGTAGTCCTAGTCTGGAGCAGGAGAAGGCACAGGGTGTTTTTTTCAGTCAGTAAGAGTCTGAAGCTTCACTGGTCTCACCCGGGACGAACACTATCAGTAGCCTTAAAGTGCACTGTGATATCAATCGAATCCATGTTTTATCATGGAATGGGTTTGAGCTTTAATCACTATATTTCAAGCAGATTAGCAGTTCTTCTTCATTTAAAAACACTTCCCCACACTAAGATTTTCTCCTGTGTCGTGGGTGCATTTACATACATACAATTTCACATACTCATCACACCCAGACTAGGAACAACAACTTATGGACCACACAAAGAGTTGTTCCGTGCTGTAATCCAACCCGCAAGACGTTGCACGGCAGCCAGTTGCCCAGCCACCGCGCCAATCGTGCAGCCGCCAGCGATTTCCAAGTTAAAGGGTAATAAGATTCCATGTTTTTTATTTTTGTTTTGTTTATGAAAAGGTCACATCCATCGCCAACAAACACATCAATGGCAAATTAATATAAAACCGTACATTACTACGCTTAGAATCTAATCGCTAATTTTGCGCAAAGTAAGACTGTAAGGCTGAAGGGTAGGGTTGAAGTTGCAGCTTCAGTTTTATGAGATTACATTTTGAGTGTATACCCGAAATACTTGCTGTCTCGTGGAATTATAAGTTCTGTTATCTGGAAGAGCCATTGTGAATTTATGATGAATAGCTAGTGGCTCCTATTAGCTTTTTGTCCACAGTACACAGGAATAGAACTACGTAAATTTTTCTGAGTTCTATGTAATATCCAAGATTATTTAGGCACCATTGACTTTCAGTGACGAAAAACATCGTGAGGAAACCTGGACTAACATTTTTGTATTACTGAAGTTTTGATATCACTAATTAACGTTGAACAAGGGTTGTAAATATTGCACAATCCTTCTCCATGTGAGACACTTGACTGCACGGTTGGTGCGGTGGCTGGGCAACTGGCTGCCGTGCAACGTGTCGCGGGTTCGATTCCCGCACGGAACAACACTTTGTGTGATCCACAATTTGTTGTTTCGGGTCTAGGTGTCATGTGTATGTGACATTGTATGTTTGTAAACGCACCCACAACACAGGAGAAAATCCTAAAGTGGGGCAACGTTTTTTTTTAAATAAAAAAAAGACCTATTTTCGTCAGGGGAAAATCATCAAATGACTTCTCCCGCCCAGGGTAAGGCGAGATAGAGTGTCAGACTCTTACTGTCTAAAAACCCCCCTGTTCCTTTTCCTGCTCTGGGCCGAGGCCGCAGTGACTCATTGCGCTTACCCCGCAACCCCGGCTGAACATCAGCCCTATAGGGCCCCATCTGTGGTGGTCTATTGGCTTCCATGTGAGGCCTTTGTTCAGCAGAAAGTACTTATAGGCTGATGATGGCTATTTGCTATTTTTCTTGAGCGGTGAAAATGATGATCAAGTGTCACTTTTGATCGTCTTCCCTGACCCTGGTTGGGGCGAGACGGAAACTCTTATTGAAGAAATACCACGTTCCTTATTTTGGCGTGGTGGTTGTGTAACTGGCTGCTGCGCAAAGTCTCGTGGCTTCGATGACCTTCCCGCACGGAACAACTCTTTGTGTGATCCACAAATTGTTGCTCCGGGTCTGGGTGTGATATATATGTGAAATTGTATGTTTATAAACGCACCCACGACATAGGAGAAATCCAACTGTGGGGCAATGTTTTTTGATAACAATAAAAACAATAATATTTTGCACTTTTTAGTATACTTTTACCTATATGTACTTTCGCGGTAAAATCAGACTCCATAGATATACATATACATTAAAAGGAGCATGCATGTCGTAAATTATATACATTTGAGTAGTTTTATATCAGTAATGATAATGACGATACCCTCGGTTGCATTGATAGTGACATAAATTAATTCGCGGTTACAATAAAACATGTACAAAATGCTATGTGTGCCAATTAAATATGAAAAATATGTTTATAGCGCTTCTGAACGATGCAATGTTTATTTATTAATATTGAATTATTTGCGTTATTGGTCCTGTTGTGGTTGGTAGCTTTGTTTTTTGAAATAATTGGTTGATTTTTTGGTTTTGTGGGTATTGATTTTTGACGTTCTCGAGTTGGTTTTTTTTAATATGGCGACAAGGGTAATCGCAAACGTTGGTGTACATGTTATAATAAGTGGTTACGTAATCACCTCCCACTTCTAAGCTTAAATTCGGTTTAACTTAGAGTTTTTTTTAGGCGTGAAGAAAAGACAGACAGTTGTTGTTACTTTCGCATTTATAATATTAGTTTGGATTAATACTATAGACAAAATTACGCTTCTCTTATATTTTCTGGCTATCTCACGGACATACTAGTATCACCTCAAACTACGCCCAACCACATCCAGTACCACGATATCTTCGTCATAAGACTCTGAGTATATACACGACAGGCTTTATTAAATTTAAGACACTTACACAGCCTTTATTGTTGAAAGTTTCAAAGGATTATGTGCTTGTAATAAACTAAGTTCTGAAAACATGCAATGTATTGAAATCTCATGAAAAAGTTTGTCCATGTATTTAAACGTGTTTATAGAATTTACATTACATTGAAAGGGTATGAAGGATCACAGATGGGCTCCAACAGGGTTTTTTTTTGTGAGGGGAAAATCATCAAATGACTTATCCCGCCCAGGGCCGGGCAGGAGGGAGTGTCAGACTCTCACTGACTAAAAACCCCCCTGTTCCTTCTCCTGCTCTGTGCCGAAGTCACGGTACCTCATTGCGCTTACCCCGCAACCCCGGCTGAACATCAGACCTTTAGGGCCCCGTCTGTGGTGGTCGAATGGCTCTTTGAGGCGCGCGCGGAACGCTACGCGCCGTACGCTCGGGCCTGGTTCTGGTCGGGCGGCGAGCTGCCTTTACTCGCCGACCGCAGGCTAATGTTGTAGGGCAAGCTCTGTAAGGTACCACGGCCTTGGCCTAGATGAAGAGAAGGAAAGGAGGGGTTTTTAGCCAGTAAGAGTCTGACACTCCTTTTTGCCTCACCCCAGGCGAGACAAGGCGTTTGGTCATTTTCCGCCTGTCCATTTCTTTGTCGCTATTTCTCTATGTATTCAAATATTGAAAATTACGTATCCGATATAGATTCTGTTTATATCATAGATAGAGTGCTTAAATAGGAAGGCTTATATGTTTTTTTATGTGATAGTTAGGCAAATGAGCCGATGGATTACCTGATGGTAAGCAATCAGCGCCGCCCATGGACACCCGCAACGAAGGAGTTACGAGTGCGTTGCCAACCTTTTAGGGATTAGGGTTTTTGAGATTAAGGGATTGGGGAGGGATCGCGGGAGAGGAAGGATTGGGCCTCGGTAACCTCATTCACACGGCGAACTGTGGTTGTTTCACGCCGGTTTTCTGTAAGGCCGTGGTACCACTCCGATCGAGCCGACCCATTCGTGCCGAAGCATGACTCTCCCACACCATGTATAATAATATCTATGAAATAGAGGAGTAATTTAGCATTGCTCACGTTTGAAGCCAAGCCAGATAAATATAGCCAAGAAAAATAAAAAATAAACTAAACACTTCAAAAAAATATTTTTTAATAATCGAATCAAAAAAGAAAATCAATTTATCAATGATTATTTTGAAAAAAAAAGAACTGGCCGAAAACCACCTAAATAGACTCTAAAAGTCTTTAAGCTTTCCTTATTTTGTTTTCTGTGTTGTATGGAAGAGTTCAAAAGGCGACTGGTGATGTCATTGACCGTTTGGACGACACTTAACTGACTACAAAGAGGCTACTTGCATATGCATCAGCTGATATCGATCTCTTCAATGTATGTGTCTAAGTGGACGGACGGCTTGAAGTGGACATGATCTTTCTATTTTAACTCTTGTAACTTCTAAACTTTTTTTTTAAAACGTTGCTCCACTTTAGGATCTTCTCCTGTGTTGTGGGTGCGTTTACAAACATACATATGACACCCAGACCCGAAACAACAATTTGTGGATCTCACAAAATGTTGTTCCGTGCGGGAATCGAACCCGCGACACGCTGCACGTCAGCCAGTTGCCCAGCCATCGCACCAACCGTGCAGTCAAACTGTTTCAAAGATCATCGATTTTTATGTGGTGAATTTTTGGTCTTATGTTTTTTTTATTGTATAGTAACTATCGTGAGGTATACTATATTTATTAAAAATAAACGTCTTCCTCACGTTAATTATTTAAGAAATTTAACTGAAACGGTCGTGACTTGAAACTAGTAGCGCTTTTTTCAGATATTTTTGTGATAGGGCCTCGAATCGAGCCTGGTGGCAAGCAATCTACGTAATCCTATTCTCACGCGGAGAATATTGAGAATTAACCACCACTTGATTGATAATTACAAACTTATAATTAATAATTTGAAGTTCATGTTTCCTCACGAAAATTTCCTTCATTTTTTATGTAATAAGTCGGCAAACGAGCAGACGGACTACCTGACGGTAAGCATTCGGCGCCGCCCATGGACACCCGCAACACCAAAGGAGTTACGAGTGCGTTGCCGGCCTTTTGGGGATAGGGGTTGCGGATATAAGGATCGGAAAGGGGCGGGATTGGGCCTTCGGTAACCTAACTCACACGGCGAAACACAACGCTGTGGTTGTTTCACGCTGGTATTCTGTGAGGCTGTGGTATCATTCCGGTCGAGCCGACCCATTCGTGCCGAAGCTTGGCTCTCCCACACTTAAGTGATTATTGATGATTTCAAACTTATAATTAGTAATTGTAAGTCCATGTTTCCTCACGAAATTTTCCTTCATCGTATGTCTCTGGTGTTTATAAACATTTAGGAAGTATATATGTATATATGAACTTTGAAATAGTCAAATCAAATCAAATCAAATTCTTCATTTCAAGTAGACCACAACAGGCACTTTTGTCTGTCCGTTTGTCCTCTAGTAAAGCTGTTTGCTCGTTCCAAAGTGTAGATTCCTATGGAGAAGAACGAGCAAAAAACTCCATGGTTACTTTTTTTCAATCACTTTTTACAAAGCATTGTTACATAATTTAGATAGTTCCATTATATATATGTGAGAACAGTGTAACACTAATGTTTAACCAAAAGATCCGAAAAAGAAATGAACCTCAAGGACAGCAACTTTAGACAGTCTCGAGTTGACCAGTGCCAATAGGCGGCGTCCGTTCACGAACATATCATAGAAGTCATATGAACATAGTAGTTACATAGATACTAGAGTCACACAGATATAAGATGCGGGTGGAAGCCTTAACCTCCTGGCTACCACGACCTACATAGTTCCCATTTCTATCAACAAACTGAACATAACAGCAAACAAAAAAAGTTATTTTAAAATATACTCGTTTCAAGTTTGTTTGTCTGTCATGTTCGTGGGGTAGGCAGCGTAGTCATTAACTCGAGTAAACATGGAGAGTCTGGCATGGCCCGATACTCAACCGTTATTTCAATTTGTATTGTGGTTTTCGAATGGAAATATTTTTATGTTGAATGAAATATGTTTATGCATTCATTGTTTTTGGATTTATATGAAAAGGATTCAGTGAATGGACTATGCAACTGTACTTACCTAATTGATTCCTGGATTACGTTAAAAAAACTACAGTCATACTATTCCTTATACACATTATACTAAGACTCCAAAATTTGTAGATCAGACTAAGAGTTCGTGCGAGAATCGAACCCGCGACACATTGCACAGCAGCCTGTTGCCCAGCTCCCGACCCTACCGTGCACTTGTTATATGGTGTGAAGAATGTTTTTTTTTCAGACATATTATATCACATACACATAACAATCAGACAAGGATTTTTCGACATCTAATATTTTAGGATTTTATGGGTTTGAATTTTAACCGTATTATATGGTTTTTGAAAAATAATTTATTTAGAAAAACTCTAATGAATAACATTATTTATAGGATCTATGAAAATATCATTCTTCATCAAAAATGTATTAATTGTCAAAATAATATAAAAATTCTTTGCAAAATAAACACACTTTATTTCATCGCTTGAATATAATATAACAAGCTTGCAAATTATACCTCGAAAAAAATCTATGTACATCCCCTACCAATTTTTCATTTCACACGCATTGAAACGAAACTAGAATGGATGTCGATCACAATTTAAAACGATTGCTCTCGATTATGGTATAGAATCGATCAGTTGCATGAACACGTCGAATTGGTTGCCGGAATGCTAACGAATGTAGATGTCACGGGACTATCACGTCAATTTGTCGACTATAGAGTGACAAAAAACCATCGCAATTTCAATGAACTGATGGTAATTCATAGAGAAATTTTGCTGCTTTTAAATTTCGAACGTGGAAC